GAAGTTGGCAATAGGCTAATTACACTATTAACCCACAAGTCACAAGTGACCTTTAGCAAGACATTGTAACTACCCAATTCATATAGGGATCAATGATTTGATATAACCTATCATGCAACCATATCACATCCCTTTTGTCACATGATATTTTGGTCAACTGTGAGACATAGAATTGTCATTCTCCTTTAACTGACCATTACTTTCTCAATCTCAGAGTAGACTGACTGTAGCAATAGAAAAACACTTTCCATTATAGTATGTCCATATATTTTTTCAGTCTTACTCATCGAGGGGCCTAGTAATATCTCTCACTTAATGTGAGGGATAAATTTCATCTTGACCCCTCATATTCCTCTGCATGAACATTACTAAACTCAATCATAGCCTTTATGATCAACCAATCAAGGTGATTTTTTATTGGGTCAAAGTTCAATGATCATCATATAGGAATCCATAATGATCTCAGGTCCAAGGGCTTAATAATATGGTTACATATGAGATAAGCTTATGACTTGTACCATGTAGCTTTCTCACAGCAGGTCGATTCAACACCTTGTACTCTTTCAAGTGCCTATGACTTTGATGTGTATCTCTATAATTAATCAAAGTCATACTAGTCTTGTTTCATCTATAATCCCTCATAGATGATAGATAAGGGACATTTAGGACAATCACTATAGTTTGTCCGAGGATACAGTTATCATAGTAAACACACAATTGATATGATAACAAAAGAAAAATTCATTAAACAACAATGTGAATAGTACAATGATTAGCTCTTGGGCACAATTTCCAACATCCTCCCACTTACACTAGGTACGATTATTGATTTGTCTAGTTCCCATTATCCTCGCATGACGCTCATGCTTTGCCTATGTAAGAGACTTTGTAAGAGGATTAACGACATTGTCTTCTCTTGTTGCTTTGCATATTTTTACGTCACCTCTATCATTGATCTCTCTAATAAGCTAGAAATGCCTGAGTATATGCTTGGTCTTTTGGTGTGACCTTGGCTCCTTGCTCTGTGCAATTGCATCGCTATTATCACAAAAGAAGTTTATTAGATCTGAGATGCTAGGCACAACTCCTAGTTCAACAATGAACTTCCTGATCCAAACAGCTTCCTTAGCTGCATCTGATGCTACTATATACACAGTTTCTATTGTAAAATCAGTTGTTGTGCTCTACTTTGAGCTCTTCCAGCTCAATGGCCTACCATTTAAGGTGACCACATATCCTATTTGTGATTTAAGGTCATCCTAGTTAGTTTGGAAGCTTGCATTTATGTAAATTGTTACAACTAGCTTGTCATCCAATTTGCCATATACTATGAATAAATCCTTAGTCCTTCTTAAGTACTTTAGGATATTCTTGACAACAGTCCAATGATCCTTTCCTAGATCAGCTTGGTATCTGTTAGTGATACTCAAGGCAAATGAAACATCTAGTTGAGTGCACAGCATAGCATACATGATAGATCCAATTGCTAAGGCATATGGAACCTTACTCATGCGATCTTGTTGATTTTATGTACTAGGACACTAGTCTTTACTGAGATGAATGCCATGAAACATGGGGATGAAACCCTCTTTAAATCCTTTATATTAAATCTAGTAATATCTTGTCTATGTATGTGCTTTGACTTAGGCCTATCATCTTTTTGGATCTATCTCTATAGATCTTAATCCTAAGGATGCAAGTGGCTTCACCTAAGTCTTTCATAGAGAAATATTTTTCTAACCAAGACTTGACACTCTACAAGGTAGGAATGTCATTCCTAATGAGTAGGATGTCATCTACATATAGCATTAGAAATATAATAGTATTGCCATTAACCCTTTTATAAATACAAGGTTCATCAATTTTTTAAATGAATCCAAACTCTTTGATTACTTCATCAAAATGTTGATTCTAGCTCCGAGACACCTGCTTCAATCCATAAATTGATCTTTGAAGTTTGCACACCTTTTTAGAGTCCTCTAGACGTATAAAGCCTTTAGGTTGTATCATGTACACTTTCTCAAGTAGACGTCTATTAAGGAATCATATTTTAATATCCATTTGCCATATTCCATAGTCATAATATCTTGCAATGGCAAAGAGCATTCTAATTGATTTGGCCATTGTGACTGGTGAAAAGGTTTCATTATAGTCTACACCATAAGTTTAGGTGAATTCTTTTGCAACTAATTATGCCTTGAAGACATTTACTTTACCATCCATGTTAGTTTTCTCCTTAAAAACCTACTTGCACCTAATGGTTTTTATGCCTTCAGGTAGATCGACTAAAGTTCATACCTTATTATCGCACATGGATTGCATTTAGACTTCAGGGTATTTAGTCATTTCTCATAATATGGTCCCATTATGGCTTCTTAGTAGGTGGTTAGTTCATTATGTTTAATGAGCAACACATCACGACATTCATTAATCAAAAATCCATATCTCTGAGGATAATGCCATGTCCTATCAAATCTTCTTGGGCCTTATGTTATCTAAGTAGGCTCATTTACTTCTTGCAAGTGTTCTTAGTTTTCCATCTGTGACTCTGTGCTATTTTATAGTTCTCAAATTTCTTCAAGATGTATCTTGCTCCTACTGGTTCTTTTAGAGATAAATTCTCTTTTTAGAAAGATACCATTTTGAATTACAAACACTTTATTATCAGTGGGATTGTAGATATAGTATCCCTTTGTTTCTTTAGGATATCCCATAAAAGGGCACTTTGTAGATTTGGGTGCTAACTTGTCTAAGGACTTTTTCTTAACATAAACCTCACTTCCCTAAATCTTGAGAAAAGATAAACTAGGTTTCTTTTTAATCTATATCTCATATGGTGTCTTCTCAATTGCCTTAGATGGAACATGATTCAGTGTGAATGCAACTGTTTTTAATGCATGGCCCTAAAAGGATGGTAGAAGATCTACTTGACTCATCATGGATTAAACCATATCTAATAGTGTCCAATTTCTCCCCTAAAAAACACCATTCTATTGTGATGTTGCTAGAGGAGCTAATTGTGAGACTATCCCTCAACTCCTAAGACGATCAATGAATTCTTGGCTTAAATATTCACCTCTTCGATCAGATTGAAGAGTTTTAATAGTCATACTAAGTTAGTTTTGTACTTCATTTTGGAATATTTTGAACATTTCAAAATATTCAAATTTTTGTTTCATTAGGTAGATGTATCCATATCTACTGTAGTTATCAATAAAGGTAATAAAGTACAGATAACCCCTTCTGGCAGTTGTGCTCATTAGTCCACATACATCTATATGTATGAGTCCTAATAAGTCATTAAACCTCTCATTATGCCTAGTAAAAGGTGCTTTTGTCATCTTTCCTAATAAACAAGATTCTCAAGTGTCATAAGTTTCAAAATCAAATGAGTTGATAAGTCTATCTTGATGGAGCTTAAAAATGCTTTTCTCATTTATATGGCTGAGATGACAATGCCATAGATAGGTTAGATTTAAATTGTTCAATTTGATGCTTTTAGTAGTTATGTTATAAATGTTTTCATTACTAGGATGTTCTAGATTTAAAAGGTAATGACAAAAATGCAAATCACCATTAGCATAACAAATGTCATTTTGATAAATAGAACATTTACCATTCCCAGTAATGGAAGTAAAACCTTCCTTATGCAAATAAGAAAGAGAAATAATGTTGCTACTCAAAGTAGGAACATAATAGCAATTGTTCAAAACTAACAAAAGCCTATTGGGCAAAAGTAATTCATAAGTGCCTACGGCTAAAGCAACAACTCTTGCTCTGTTTCCAACTCGTAGGTCAACTTCACCCTTTACTAACTTCCTACTACCTCTAAGACCCTGCACATTTATACAAGTGTGAGAACCACATGTAGTATCAAATACTTATGTAGAAAAAGTAGAAAGGTGAATGTCTATAACATAAATACCTAAAGGAGTAGCCTCGCTATCATTCTTCTTTTTCAGATCTTCCAGGTAGAGCTTACAGTTCCTCTTTCAATGACCCAATTCATTGCAAAAGAAGCAAACTCCTTCCTTTAGAGGCTTTGCCTTCTTGGCTGGAGGCTTAGTTTCAGGCTTGTTTGACTCTTTGGTCTTACCATCTGAGCCTTTACCCTTTCCCTTTACCTTTCCCTTACCTTTGCCTTTCTTTTTCATACCCTTTCCTTTCTAAACCATCAAAACAGGTCTAGGCTTTTTTTAATGTTTTTCTTAGTAGTTTTAAGCATCCCATGCAATTCAGAAATGGATTTCTATAATGTCCACCTTGACATTACCAAAATTCACCATATAATCACAACAACCAATCATAATTAGGAGCAAAGATTTGCATCTAATCTCGTATTATATATATAAGGGTTAAAACTAATAATCTTTTAAAAAATAATTGAGGAATATTTGAGATCCTATAAAAACCCTTAAATTGATAGTTTGAGCTCAAACTTAATAATTTATATAGGCATTGGAAGCATGGAAAAGTTTTAGGAAGCAAATCACTTCAAAACAAGGCCAAAAATGTCATTTTTGAGTATTTTGGTCCGTGCGCTACAGCATGTGGCACAGAATGCCAAATTTTCTCACTATACCGTGCACTGCGACTTGTGCGAAATGCGCCACGGCGCACGTGTCTATGACAACAATGCTATCATGATAGCTTTTCTGGATGAACTTCAAACGCGAGCCATTTTCATATCCGATGTCCGATTGGAGTAATTCAAGCGCCCACGCGAAACTTATTCAATAAGCTAACTAATCGTGCAAGTTTCATTATGATCCAACACCATATGAGAATTTTAGACACTTAGACGAAAAAGTTAATTTTTTAAAGAAATTTTCAACTATCTAAGTACCCAAAACTCATAACTTATACTATTAACCCATTGTGAGGCTTAAACCAAGTCCAATAGATCAAAATACACTTGAGTGACCAATCAAACACACAAAGACATACCAAACACAATATTTAGCCACTCAATAGCCATTTCACCCAATATGGCCAAAACACACAATCAACACTACATGCACTATTTAGCTTCCATTGCCACATAATACATTACAATTATATTGTCACCGCATAGATAAAACATTCCTTACACTTGTATTGGTATTTTAGCCCATCAACACAAAAATTCCCACATATTCACATCATATACCATATTGGGCTAAAATACACAACAACATAGTAGGAAACAAGTGCAACCAATTAAAATGATATACATAGTTGGCAACATATAATATCATATAACAAGTTTATGTACACCACTCAAACCAAAATCGAGTATTATTATTCGATGTAGCAAATCTACTAGTCCTTGCCCAATTCCTTTCCCTGCCCAATCTCAGAGGTAGAACCTGTAAAATGATAATCCACGGGGTGAGATAAAAATCTCGATAACTAAGATAATTTACATTATTGATTAACAAGCCAAGTTATAAACAAGCATTAAAATAAGTAACATGATCACATCATATAAGATCACCATAAATTTGCATGCATGATCCCTAACAATCAGGTCCTCCAATACTCCCGACCGAACCAGTAGGCTATTTTACAGAACCAAACCACATGTATGGTCCCCAAGCTCACCATCCATAATAGGACTACCCGGCCAAGGTGTCCTAAACCACTTCTGGACTACTGTTTCGCCCTATTACAAGTAATTGGGGTGTCTTTACTCCAGCACCGCATCCTACAGATGCTAAGGAGCATAGTCTCTAACTCCGCACCCTTTTGGGTATTAAGGAGAGTAAGTCTCCAACACCACACCCATTTTCGAGCACTAAGGAGAGTAAGTGCTGCACCTGGCGTCTCGAGGTGCCAGCAATGCCATATGGACTTAGTCTTCACTATCTCCACTAGGGTGACCTCCCACCCTTTAATATGCCACATTTCACTACATATCTCCACTTGACTATGCATAAATAACTTTCCAAACAAATATAACAAAATCTTAACTTATCACATTTCAACACCCTATGATCAAGTTAAGACTTGATCTAAAATTCACCAAACAAGAAAGTAGCTTCCTATTACCACATATCCAAGATCAATAAACCTAAATTAAACCTTTAGAGTCAATAGAAACCTTCAAAACATTGACTCATTGCTTAATCCAATCAGACCAAATTCTTACTCTTCTAAATCCCATGGAAAATGAGATGAAAAGGTAGAGGAGAAGGGTAGGAAACTTACCCAAGAGTTTGGAGACTTAAATGATCTTCAAAATCTTTCCAAATTGATGCCCTAGTAGTGCCTAAAGTTTCTCCCTTCATGTTCTAGGTTTTCCACCTCAAAAACTATCCATTTCTGATGATTCCTAAAATTTTAAGTTACCTGCTGTGCCGTGCGCCATAGCGCACGCCATGTAAGCCGTGGCTCACGACGCAACGAGCAACAAGTTGATTTTACTCCCCTGATGCCTCCCGACTTAATCCGACTTTCACCTTATCTCAATTTAGAGCCAAATATGACCCAAAAATCTAATTAGCCACCCAAAAACATAATAAAATAAATTAATCATATTTTTAACTAATTTATCCCTTAATTAATCCACTTTTCTAGATTTGAAGTCTTAAGATGTTATAGTTCTCCCCTCCTTTAAAGGAATTTTGCCCCCAAAATTCAAGAACAACCACAACACATACCTAGGGAAATAGGTAAGGATATTACTGCTTCATTTTATCCTCTGTCTCCCAAGTAGCATCACCAGGAGCCATTCCTTTCCATACCACCTTAACTAGTTGAATAGTCTTGTTCCGCAATTACTTATCTTTAACATCTACTATTCGTTCTGGCTCTGCTTGATAAGTCATATTCTCTTGTAGCTCTACCTCTTCGGGTTCAATCACATGAGATGGATCAGGTTGATATTTCTTCAGTTGAGAAACATGAAAAACATCATTAATTTCAGATAATTGTGGTGGCAAGGCGATTTGGTAGGCAACTGGCCCAACTTTCCTGAGGATCTTAAATGGACCCATGAATCGAGGAGATAATTTCTTTGCTTTGATTGACCTGCCGATCCTTGTTATAGGTGAAACTCTTAGAAAAACATGGTTACCAACCACGAACACCAACGGCCTTTACCGTTTATCCACATAACTCTTTTGCCTACTCTCAGCCATTAGAAGTTTCTGCCTTATCATTTGAATTTTTTATGTCATTTGATCCACAATATTAGGACCCATAATGCTTTTCTCACTCACTTCAACCCAATAGAAAGGAGATTGACATTTTTTTTCATATAGTGCCTCACAAAGAGCCATCCCTATACTGGATCCTTGCCTAATGATCCTCGAGTCTGTGATCCTCCAACAAAACTCTTCTTGCCTAATGCTGTAGAACTACTCGAGCTATAAGCCGTCTTCTTAGAGACTCCTCTAAAAGGGCTTAGGGAGGACGAGAACCTCTCATGACTATCTCGTCTCTTTTTTACTTCTACTTCCCGACCCCTTCTTGCTGCAATTCAAAGCCAATTACACATGTTGGCGTATATGGTTACTCCTAGCAGAGCAATCTGCTGTCTATATTTAGGCCTCATCTTTTCCAAAAGCCGTTTGGCCTTCCACTCGCTATTATTAGTCTCATTCAGATAAGTAAAAAATTTTGATAGCTAATTAAACTTTTAGATAAATGCTTCCTCATCAAGATCTCCCTACCGAAATGCATGGAACTCGACCTCTTTCTCATCTCTAAATGCTGGGGGAAAATGATTATCAAAGAACATTTTCTTGAATTATTCCCATGTTAGTTGGCGTCCATCTACTGGTCTTGCAGAATTCCACTAGTGTTTAGCATCTTCAACTAGATACACTGTGGCTATGATCACCTTCTGTTTTGTAGAGCACAATACCACCTCAAAGATGGTTTCAACTCTCTCTATCCATTTTTCCGCTTCTCCTTCCTTCATAATTCCATTAAAGGTTGGAGGGTTAAACAGAGAGAAAGTCCTCCATGCTCAATCAATAGCCATCCCTTAAGCTTCTCTATCCGCTCTCGTCCAAGACGATCTAGGTCTAGTACCGGAACCATGAGATGGTTCCAATCTGCTCTCATGAGCTTCCTCTTACCTCCTTTATTCCTCCTCACGACCTCTATTTTGAAGCAGAACATCGTGGTCTTGAACAGTTCTTTGAATATTCCTCATCATATCCCGTAATTCTTTAAGAATTGTATCATTACCCTAGGGCCTTTGTTGTTGTTCTACTTGTATCTCTGGCTCTACCTCTAGTATAGGCCCATCATTCTCCGGTAAATTACCGGCATTTCGGATGCTTCTTCTCACCATTTTTCTCCCCTCCTAAGGAAGAAACTAAGTAGAAAAGGGGAATAAGTGGGAAATAAAGGAAATGAGACAAAGGGAAAGAGTTGTGTACATAAAGTTTCCAACTAATGAGAATGAATGCAATAGATACATCACCACAACTAAATCTCAGAACCTGAGAAACTGATACCAAATTGTAATATATTATATGGCAATAGAAGTCAAATAATGCATGTAGTTTTGATTGTGTCTTTTGGCCATATTGTGTAAAATGGCCATTGAGTGGCCAAATTTTATGTTTGGTATGTTTTTGTGTGTTTGATTGGTCACTCAAGTGTATTTTGATCTATTGGCTTGGTTTAAGCCTCACAATGGGTTAATGGTATAAGTTATGAGTTTTGGGTGCTTGGATGGTTGAAATTTTTTTTGAAAAACTAACTTTTGCATCTGAGTGTCTAAAATTCTCATATGGTGTCAGATCATTACCATTATTTAGCTTATTGAATAATTTTTGTATGGGCGCTTGAATCACTCCAATTGGACATCGGATGTGAAAATGGCGTGCATTCGAAGTTCGTCTAGAAAAGCTATCAAGACAGCATTACTATCATGGACACGTGTGCTGCGGCGCATTTCGCGCAAGCCATGGCACACAGTACATCGAGAAAATTTGGCATTCTGTGCCACATGCCGTGGCGCATAGACCACGAGCCACGGTGCATGACCAAAACACTCAAAAATGACATTTTTAGCCTTATTTTGAAGTGGTTTGCTTCCCAAAACTTTTCCATGCTTCCAATGCTATATAAATCATTAAGTTTGAGCTCAAACTATCAATTTAAGGGTTTTTATGGGATCCCAAATATTCCTCAATTATTTTTAAAATATTATTAGTTTTAACACTTTATATATATAATGTGAGATTAGGAGCAAATCCTTGCTCCTAATTATGATTGGTTATTGTGATTGTGTGGTGAATTTTGATAATGTCAAGGTGGAGATTACAATTTCTTTAAAAAACTAACTTTTGCATTCGAGTGTCTAAAATTCTCATACAGTGTCAGATTGTAATGAAACTTATACCATTAGTTAGCTTATTGAATAAGCTTCGCGTGGGTACTTGAATCACTCCAATTGGACATCGGATGTGAAAATGGCACACGTTTAAAGTTCATCCGGAAAAGCTGTCCTGACAGCATTCCTGTCATGGACACATGCGTCGCGGCGCATTTCGCGCAAGCCGCGGCACATGGTATAGCGAGAAAATTTGGCATTCTGTGTCACATGCCGTGGTGCACAGACCACGAGCCGCGGTGCATGGACTAAAACACTCAAAAATGACATTTTTGGCCCTGTTTTTGAAGTGGTTTGCTTCCTAAAACTTTTCCATGCTTCCAATGCCTAGATAAATCATTAAGTTTGAACTCAAACTATTAATTTAAGGATTTTTATGGGATCCCAAATATTCCTCAATTATTTTTAAAAGATTATTAGTTTTAACCCTTATATATATAATGTGAGATTAGGAGAAAATCCTTGCTCCTAATTATGATTGGTTGTTGTGATTATGTGGTGAATTTTGGTAATGTTAAGGTGGATATTACAATTACATTGTCACCACATAGATAAAGCATTTCTTGCACTTGTATTGGTATTTTAGCCCATCACAACAAACATTCCCACATATTCACATCATATACCATATTTGGCTAAAATACACAACAACATAGTATGAAACAAGTACAACCAATCAAAATAATATGCATTCCTAGTTGGCAACATATAATATCATATAACAAGTTTATATACACCACTTAAATCAAAATCGGGCATTACTATTCGATGTAGCAAATCTACTAATCCTTACCCAATTCCTTTCCGTGCCCAGTCTCAGAGATAGAACCTGTAAAATGATAATCCACAAGGTGAGATAAAAATCTCAATAACTACGATAATCTATATTATTTATTAACAAGCCAAGTTATAAACAAGCATTAAAATAAGTAACATGATCACATCATATAAGATCACCACAAATTTGCATGCATAATCCCTAATAATCTAGTCCTCCAATACTCCCGACTGAACCAGTAGGCTATTTCATAGAACCAAACCACATGTATGGTCCCCAAGCTCACCATCCATGATAGGACTACCCAGCCAAGGTGTACTAAACCACTTTTGAACTACCGTTTCCCCTATTACAAGTAATTGGGGTGTCGTTACTCCAACACCGCATCCTACGGATGCTAAGGAGTATAGTCTCCAACTCCGCACCTTTTTGGTACTAAGGAGAGTAAGTCTCCAACACCGCACTCATTTTCGAGCACCAAGGAGAGTAAGTACTGCACCTGGCGTCCCGAGGTGCCAGCAATGCCATATGAACTTAATCTTTACTATCTCCACTAAGGTGACCTCCCACCCTCTAATATACTACATTTCACTACATATCTCCACTTGACTATGCATAAATAACTTTCCAAACAAATATAACAAAATCTTGCCATTTACTTCAAAAATATAGAATTTTACAAACCAATACTCCACTTTTTCTAAAATAGTTAACCTTTAAAGAATTTATGCATATATACTCAACAAATCATAGAAAAACAACTTGAGAATAACTTATATAAGGTAATAAACAATGCAAATTATCTAGTTACCTCCCTTTTGTTACTAAAAGGGTTACCCGTGGTACTAAATTCTCTTCTTGTGTCAAGGTAAGTCTTCCCACACCATAATCTACAACAACAAGTACTATATGTTAATTTTTAATTAGCACAAGCACCATTAGCTAATATTAACCTCCCAATTCTCACACTTCTTACTCATATTCTCAATAAATAGACTTGTCAAGAATAGAATTTGTTTACACAATCCCTTTAAGTCTCTTTCTAACTCTATCACAACAAAAAATTTAATATCTCAACTTATCACACTTCAACACCCTGTGATCAAGTTGGGGCTTAATCCAAAATTCACCAAATAAGAAAGTAGCTTCTTATTATCACATATCCAAGATCAATAAACCTAAATTAAACCTTTAGAGTCAATAAAAACCTTCAAAATATTGACTCATTGCTTAATGCAATTAGACCAAATTCTCACTCTTCTAAATCCCATAGAAAATGAGATGAAAAGATAGAGAAGAAGGGTGGCAAACTTACCCAAGAGTTTGGAGACTCAAATGATCTTCAAAATCCTTTCAAATTGATGCCCTAGCAGCGCCCAAAGTTGCTCCCTTCGTGTTCTAGGTTTTCCACCCAAAAAACTGTCTATTTTTTATGATTCCCAAAATTTTAAGTTGCCTGCTATGCCGTGCGCCACAGCGCACATCACACAAGCCGCAGATCACAACGCAGCAAGCAACAAGTTGATTTTGCTCCCCCCAATGCCTCTCGATTTGATCCGACTTTTATCTTATCTCAATTTAAAGCCAAATATGACCCAAAAATCTAATTAGCCACCCAAAAACATAATTAAATAAATTAATCATATTTTAAACTAATTTATCCCTTAATTAATCCACTTTTCCAAATTTGAAGTTTTAAGATGTGATAGTTTCTCCATTTCATTCATGTTATAGTTCATAACAAACTGGTCATAACTTTTTGGGAGTGAGTTCAAGATCAAATCTATAGCTAACTCTTAGCTTAGGAAAAATCCAAGCCTCTCAAGGTGATCAATATAGCTCTTCATCTTTAAAACCTGAGTGATAACTGATACACCCTCAGCCATCTTACAAGAGTGTAAGGCCTTTATGGTCTCATACCTCTCTTGTCTTACCTGTTGCTAGAACATTTCTTTAAGATGTACATTCATCTTATAAGCCTCCATGTATTCCAAATCTCTTTGAAGTTTTGGAACTATAGTAGCTAGCATTAGGCATCCTACATCCATCAAGTCATTAGTGTGCTTTGCATAAGCATCCCTTTGAACTCTTAGAGCATTAGCTGCAGGCTCCTCAGGAATGGATTCATCCAGGACATAAGCCTTTCTTTTCTGCTTGAGAACAATTCTCAAGTTCCTAAATCAATCAAGAAAGTTCATCCCATTGAATTTGTCCTTCTCAAGGACTGATTGTAATGATAGTGTAGCAGTATTACTAGTCGACATGATTCTACAATAAAATACACAAAGTTAATGTTATATCTCCCACTAAAACTAACAACCCTTGAATTTGATTAGCAGGCTAAGACCTATATTTCACTTAAATTTAAGTTCACTTTGGCAAGATGCTTAAAATTAAGTTATTTAGGTAGGTAACTCATTTATTAATTACATTACATGTAACTCTTAGATCTTTATGGGATTCAATCATCATATGATCCGGCATGTTCAATCCTATCAAATGCCTTAAGATCCAAACCATTTTGATAATCTAAATTAAGTTAGATAATAATGAATCTTTGTGAGTAGCACCATTACTCATGCTTGTCTCACGAAGATAACCCAAATGTATCCACTTTCGTGGATCCTACATTTGAGTGATCTAGGTTTTGACAAGTATTCATTAATTGATGGCATTATGACTTAAGATTTTAATTAGAGGGTTTGATTTATTAATTTAAATCATGTAAAGTGAAAGCAGTTGTATCTCATACAAAATCACACATACTATGATCTAATCAAAAGTATAATTAAACGTGACATAATATGGTTCAACTAATCTATGCACATCCCAAGCTAATGAGAGGACCTCTCTAAGAAGATAAATTACATCGACAAAACTTTGTTTAGACATAGGAGGGGATTGAGAAGAGAAGAGAATGTACATTCAAAGTTTATAAAGAGAGGCACGACACGCAAGCCGTATTTAAAAAAATTACAACCCTTGTAAAACTAGAGCCACATGTGTCACCATACCCAAAAAACTTCAAGGCAAAGAAAACACAACAAATAAACAACTCATATGTAATGAAAGGCTATAAATTATGAATTAGATTGCGCTATGTAGAGTTAGCCACTGCGCCCTTTAGATTCATCAATCATATTGACAATCTAGCATAAACCATATAAGAACACGAACGAACAATCCAACCTAACCCATATAAGAACACAGACGAACAATAATGACATTGAGAATGCATATCATATGGACGAACATTAGTCATATTGAAAATGCGCATCATATAGCTAAATATTAATCATATTAATATATTTAAATTCATATAAATTTGAATATATAAAATGAGTTTATATATATATGTTTCTAAAACATCACATGAAAAATATATATAGATTTTAAAAATATCACATATAACTTTTGAAAATCTTAAAGCAATGTTCATATAAAGAAGTTTATCACATGAATATTTAAGAATGTAATTAACTAAAACCCAACTTAAATGAAAATTCGACCTGGCTCTAGTACCACTATTGGATAGGGAGGCACAGCGAAAGATTAAAGATTTTAAAGTCCCTATCCTAAGATGGACCAAATAAACTCATTTAAGTCAAGGTGGATAGAAGAGTTACATTTTAATTCTTCAAACTTGGTGCATGTTCTCTTCAAGAGTTTGGATCTTAGGAGCTGACAACATAGATCTACTCCCTCTACTGATATCCACACGAACAGTTCTCTAACTCGAACAGCGTGCTAGCGCTCTCAGCGTCCATTCTTCTTTGGACGTTAGTTTTCCTCTCTATAAGGTGTCTCATGGCTCTCAAAGTATTTTGCCATCAGAACTTTTCTAACACACTTAATAAAACATTACCCTATCTATATATAGTATATGGATTAGAGTTTTCGTCTTTCACTTAAAGAGCCAACAAAAATTTAATTAAATTTATCTTATAAATTTAATCCATGATATCATATTTAATTTAAATTTATCTTTTAAATTCAAATTATAAAACTGACATGATATTCTCTCATATAATGTTAGTTATTAAATTTAATCTATCATATAAAATTAAATTTAAAACTAACATAACATAACATAATATAATATAATATAATATAATAGAGATCACATATACATATTATATATATACGAATATATACATATATATTTTGAATATATGTATATTATTTTTAATTTTATATATCATATACATATATACATACATACATACATACATATATATATATATTGAAAATATGTATATATAATTACATTTTATATTTTATATTTCATATAAATATATATATAAATATTTATCAAATAAATATTCAAATATATATATATATATATAAAATTAATTTACCCTATATTACATTCATTGAATTTAAACATATTTCAGATTCAATAAACTTGGACATTATAGCTCAAGTTGGGCTGTTCTTATGTGCGACCCTGTAGGCCCATATGAAGTTAGCAGTAGGCTAATTACGCTATTAGCCCACCAGTCACAAGTGGCCTTTAGCAATACATTACAACTACCCAATTCACATGGGGATGATGATTCGGTGTAACCTATCATGCAACCGTATTACATCCCTTTTGTCACACGATATTTCGATCAAGTGTGAGACATAAAATTGTCATTCTACTTTACCTGACCGTTACTTTCTCAATCTTTGAGTGGACTAACTATAACAATGGAAAAACCCTTCTCATTGTAGTATGACCATACATTTTCTTAGTCTTACTCATCAAGAGGCCGAGTAATATCTCTCACTTAATGTGAGGGATAAATTCCATCTTGACTACTCATGTTCCTCTGCATGAATATCGTTAAACTCAATCATAGCCTTTATGATCACCTAGTCAAAGGTGACTTTTGATTAGGTCAAAAGGCTTAGTGATATAGTTACATATGAGGTAAACTTATGACTTCTACAATACAATTTTCTCATAGCGGGTTAGTCCAGCACCTTGTACTCTTTCAAGTGCCTATAACTTTAATTTGTATCTCTATAATTAATCAAAGTCATACTGGTCTTGTTTCATCTATGATCCCTTATAGATGATTGACCAGGAAAATTTAGGACAATCATTAGTTTGTCCAAGGATAAAATTATCATAATGAACATGCAATTGATATGATAACAAAAGAGAATTCATTAAATAACAATGTGCATTGTACAATGGTTGGCCCTAGGACATAATTTTCAACATTAAAGAATGTTGCCATATGATCTTTCACTACACTCCACATAGGTGAATTCCCACCCCTATGATCATGCTTTTCAAACCAGTCATAAGTTTCACATTTATATATGTATCCACAACAGATAGCATATATATATATATATATATATTTATATATATTGTAACATTCTCAATTTTAAATCAAGATTAATTAAGTTCAAATAGACTAAATAAGTGTATTAGTGAGGTGTGTGGCCTGAGGGGCTTAACTTGGGGTAGTTGTTGTGATTTTAGTCCTAGACGTGGGTTCGGATCGATGGCAGGCCACCCAAGCAAGGAAAGAGGAAGAAAAAGTAAAGATTTGCTTTTTGTGCCATATGCTACGGCATATAGTCAGTCCATCGTGGCACATAGAGGCTGATTTAAAATCCAACAAGCTCCTTTGTGCCACGCACTACAACCACTAAATTTATACAAATTTTAGATATTTAATGTCCTCCAACCACCATCATATCATAAAATCATAAATACCAAGTTTACTTAGTTCAATCTACTCCTAATAACTCTATTTAAGTTAATGGGTTCAGACCCACAGCTT